GTTAAGCTCAGAAGTTTTCATGCAGGCCCCTACATTTGTACCCTAAAGTTCAAAGTGGGGATACAGCCTTGACACCTTGTCTACACGACAAATTTATGTTGGTATAACTACGTCGCTCAGGGTGTGGATATTGACATAACTCCTGGTGTAGACAGCGCTATGTTGACAGGAGGGCTTTGTCCTTCGACATAGCTGCTGTCTCTTTGGGAGTTGGAGCACCTAAGCAGATGGGAGAAGCTCTCCCCTCAGCATAGGTAGTGTCTTCACTAAATGCTACAGCAGTATAGCTGCAGCACTGTAAGTGTAGACAAGCTCATAGTTTATTTAATATGTATTAGTAGTAGAGTGGATTTAAAAAATAATAAATGTTTGGAATTCAGACTGCATTTTCTCCTTTGCTGTTAACATCTCTGGCCAATTCCTTTGTTTTTGGAACCTTTAATAAAAGCAAACAATTTGTGATTAATCACTATATACAGATGGATACTTTTAAAAACATACTTAAAACATTTTGGGAAAGATGTGAACAAATGGGAGAAAGTCCGGAGAAGAGCAACAAAAATGATTAAAGGTCTAAAACATGACCTGTGAGGAAAGATTGAAAAAATTGGGTTTGTTTAGTCTGGAGAAGAGAAGACTGAGTGGAGACATAACAGTTTTCAAGTACATAAAAGGTTGTTACAAGGAGGAGAGAGGTAAATTGTTCTTCTTAACTTCTGAGGATAGGCCAAGAAACATTGGGCTTAAATTACAGCAAGGGTGGTTTAGGTTGGACATTAGGAAAAATGTCCTAACTGTCAAGGTTTGGAATGAGCATTGGAATAAGTCCCCTAGGGAGGTTGTGGAATCTCTGTCTTTGGAGATTTTAAAGGGCAGGTTAGACAAACACTTGTCAGGGATGGTCTAGATAATACTTAGTCCTGCCATGAGTGCAGGGGACTGGTCTAGATGACCTCTCATGGTCTCTTCCAGTCCTGTGATTCTGTGATTGTATGAAAACCCTTAACAATTACTCACTAGGGTTAGCCCTTAATAGTTGGCCAGCATAGAGTTCAGTTTATATAAATATGTTACTCAATATAAAAGTATATAATTAAAAATAGAAGTAATCCATGTACAGCAAATTCTACAGTAAAAAGTTTAAAGAAATTGATACATATTGTAGATTATAAATTAAACGTACCATGGCTGTACACTGAAATACTTTATTAATTTCACAGGTTAGAAAATCTTGAAAACATGAATTTAAACAATAACGAGCTAGAAAGTATTCCCAAAGAGCTATGTTCCTTGCAAAAGCTCTCTGAACTCCATCTATCCCACAATTGTCTCATCACAATACCTGAAGAGATTGGATACATGACGAATCTCAGAATGCTGTGCCTGTCAAGAAACCAAATAGGAGTGCTCCCTGACGTGAGTAATGTTGTGCTTTCAAAGGTAGTATTTTCTCTTTCAGTGAATATGGATAGCTTAAGAAAGCATTTGAATAACACATCTTTAAGGATGGAATTTTCCAAAGTGCCTAAGTCATTTCAATGGGACTTTTATGACTAAGGCACGTTTGATAATCCCACCCTTAGAGATAGGTTGTTCAAATGCTGTTTTCTTGAGGAATATGGAGATCTCAAATTTTATAAGGATTAATAGGTTGGTTTTGTTATTACTTAAAATAGGACTAAAACCTTATTGGTTAAATTAGAAAAGTAGGGGTGAAATTTTCAAAGGGCCCCGACTCAGCCTCTCTATCTTTGGGCACCTCGTTTTGGCCTTGCAACTTCTAGGAAACTCAACAATTGAAATGTTCATGCCCAGAGCAGGGCAATTAGATGCTTGGCTACCTTATTTATTCACACATGCCATGTACATGTACCAATTTAGGTTTCATAAGCACACAGAGTTAGACCATTTTTGAAAATTATCCTGTTAATTCTAGAAAATCTGCAAAGAGGACTATACTTAGAAACATACTATCTAGTGGCCTGCTTTTCAGTGGAGCAGTGTGTGGTTGCTCCACTAATCTCATTTGAGAATCAAGAGGAGATTCAGGTGTTTAGTGCCCTTGAAATCTCAGGGCACATTTCTCTATAGTGAGTGGTCCTGGCTGAATTGATAAGAAAGTTTGAAAGTAATTGTATAAAAGAGTGCAATAACATCCCTGACTGCAAGGAATCTCATTACATAAAGTCTGAAGCGATAAAGAGCCAGAAGCAACTAATAATGCAAATTCATTGTATTCATTGTTTTGAGATATACTAGGCAAAGACTTAAATAGACAATGTCAGCTGCATGATTCCTCAAAATGACGCCTTTAAGAGAATATGTGGTAGCTCTGTCACAGCTGGAAAGGATTCTACATGCACAGGAGAAGTGTAAACACCTTCATAGTGTGTGTATTATAAAATAGAAACATAAATGTAAAGATTGTTCTGCCCCTTTATGGGTCAGATACATATAACAGCATTTCTCTCAGTCAGAGTTGGAAAGCTAGGCTTGCTTTAGTCAAATCTAAATAAAGTTTAAAATGGGTTAGATATTAAATGTTAAAAGTCTAAACTCTGGCTCATTTTAGTCAGCTTCCACAGAAGAAAAGTAACCTCACATACTGGTTTTCCTCTTAACTCAAGCCCCCTCTTAAAGACCTTTCTTGATTTGCAGATGCTCTAAGCCCCACTGCCTTTTGAAAATTTGGCCCTAAATGCATATCCATTGAGAAATTTCATTTTGCACTTATTGTACTTGTGCTTAGCTTTCATTTGTCATCCTATCAAGTTAAAAGAAAAGATAAAGGACATTTGTCAGTTTAAAATAAATATGTTTTGTCTAGCATTTTAATTACAAATTGCTGTCTTATTTATATCAGTAAGTGAATGGTCTTCATCTTAAATTCTCAGAAATATTGCATATACTAATCCTGCCTGTTTCTAGTAGATTGTTTCTGATTGGAATTGTATGACCTTTTCTATTACCCCATGCTCAGCACCAGTGGACAATCAACAGTATGTGCATCAAGGAGGAGGAAATAAAATTTGGAACATTTAAAGCTTGTATGTGATGGAATTTGCTTTGTCTTGTTACAAAGAACACGAGTATTAGATGTACATTGCACAATGTTTCTTTGATTTCTGTATTCACTTTGTTATCTATAAAAGCCAATCAATAAAACGAATTGAAGATGGCTGCCACAAAAGAAAATGTTAAAAACAGCTGTTAATGCCATTGTATCTTGGCAGCTGCTTTCAGCTATTGCTTAAGTTGACATTGAAAACACTTAAAAATACCAGCATAAACTAAAATCCTGTGCATTTGTTTCCATCTAATATTCCAACAGATGCAAGCAATTATCTTAAGAAATGAAAATTGAGTTAGATGTTGAGGGCTGGGAACCAATAGTAATTTTGAAAGTGAAGGAGCTCTATTTAAAAGTTTTTTTTAATTGGAGATAGGAGTCTGAGAAATGTGGATTCACAGGCTGTTCAAGCTCCTTATGTGGTACACAGGAAAAGCCTTGATGTAGAGAAGAAGATATTGGCATTGTAAATAATTCAGAATGAGGTGTGAGGGAGGATGTGGGGGATAAGAGATCCATGGGGATGGTGAATGATAAATGCAGGCGTTATTTTTGTAATACCAAAAGAATGGACACCTTCTTCCCTTTTGTAATTTTCAGTTTTCCTCCTATTTTCTCTTTTATTTGGTAGCTCAGTCTCTCTTCGTCAGTACTGTTGCTTCCTGATGCCTGAGACTGCTCTCTCATCTCATGGGGATTTTAACTTCACATTCACTGTTGATATTTTTCAATTTTTATTACATTGTTTTCCCCCCTCCATCTAGGGCCTTTGCAAATTGAGAAAACTAAGAATTCTAGATGTAGCAGGGAACAAAATTCAGATTTTCCCAATAGCAGTAAGTATTATTTTCTATATTCTATCCTCTAATATGAAATTTCTACTGCAGATCTATTAAATGAATTAAATGGGCAGCCTATGTAACTTGTAGCAATTGATACCATGAGTTTCACAACTCATTGAGTGAAAGGAAAAAAATGTGTAGAGTAGTTGCATATAAACCAAACAAAATCCAATTGGATTTAGCAAAGTTATGTAAACCACAGTAGCTGTGTCCTAAACATTCCATATAATAATAGAATTAATATACTTTTAATATTGTTAAATCAAGGAGCCAAAAGTTTCAAATTTAAAAATGTGCCTGGGACTTTCCAGTTGCTAAAGAATTTTTGTTTATGTCAAAATACAATCATACATTTCACCACAATTTGTAACAGTCTGCACATTATTATGTTAGGAGAAGTTTTACAGAAGGTCATGACTACAGTGTTTTGATTTTAATATTGCGTGTATTTAGTGTCACACCTGGACCAAGTGATCACTTGGAAAGGGGAATAAAGATTAATCTGTAACTACAAAGATGTAGGAGAGTCCAAACAAAAATCCCACTTGTGTGGTGGGCTTTGTAGACCGTAATTTGTATGTTTTTTTGTGTCCTTTGTCCTCTGAGAATTAAATAATTTGATATACCACTAACCAGTACATAAGCTCTTTCTGCTGCATTGCAATCTTTGGTTTTGGTATAAAAATCTTTTGTGTGTATTGTGTGTTTGTTCTTTTGTGGCTGTTTTGAGTCATGCTCTTCTTTAATAGCTTGCCTTCTGATTCTTCTGGCACTTATGAGATGGTGGGGGAATGAAATCTTTTGGTTTCAACTACTCTAACTTTTCTAAGTTTCTTTACGTTGTTATTGCTGTGTCTATAACATACATTATTTGTGAGTGGTGACCTGTTTTCCAGAGGGCATTGGAGAACATCTCCTTCCCACTAGTAGTCAAATTCTCTGCCTTGTCTACTGAAAGTTACCATGTTATACTGAAGTTACTGGAAATAAGGAAATTTTGCAGAAAAAAAAAATGGGTAGAGTTTTTTTTAATTAACGTGTGTAGGTTTGAATGTGCACATGCATTAACATCTATAATCACTTAACGGCGCTAGTAAATTACTTTATTCTGCTCAGGCAACAAAGTAATTTAGTAGTGCCCTCAGGTGATGATTATCAGAGGACCCATTTACAGCCTGGCACAGTTGCTAAACAGCAGGAAAGTTTATAACAAGAAACAGTGTGCTTTATACAGGACAAAACAAGATGGTTTGAGTTTATAAATTTGGGGCCTGATCCTGCAAACCCTCACATGAATTATTCTGTACTAACGCAGGAAGGCCTACTCATATATTGAATAAGCACTACTTGTTTTGCAGCCAAGGCTAAAAATCGTTTCAAAATTTTCCAAAAAAACAATGTAAAGATGAGGTAGCAAAAGAATGGGGCACTGTAATAAATATGGGCCCTACTGTGGTTGTAGAATACTCCTGTTTCTAAGAGTATAGCAGATTTAAATAGTAGTGTGCACTCTGTAACCAGGTGGTGCTTTATGTAACTATGTACATGTTCACTCTGGATGCTTACTCAGGCTGTATATAACTGTAGCTTAAATCTGCATCACTATAGTCTATTCTTACACATTTAATGCATATTTAGCGTTCAGTTGTGCCTGATAGGCACTGGCCCACTTTTTAGGCTAGGGTGGCGCCTACTCCAGAGGCTGTTCCAGGACAGATTGTACCTCAAGAAGGCTAAATCAGGAGGGAGTGTGCCTACTGCTATGCTCCTTTCAGGGATGCAGCCTACTCCACTCTACATATCTGCCTAGGTTTCGCTGGCCAGTGGTGTTGCGGTGGTTCAGTAATCCCAGTTCCTCTTTACCCTTTGGTGTATCTTGTACTATGACGGAACATTCCCTTTGTTTTAATCAGTTCATGGATTGCAGTTGTGCCTAACTGCTGCACAATGGGGCAAGGAGGATGCTTGCACTCTTCCCCATATTTTGCTAACCTGCAGAGCAGCTGGGAACAATCTGGCCCTTTATCGCATCTCTTTGGGTTGATTTTAATAGCAACCCTTTGCTAAATGTTCACAAACTCAGATTACCAATCTAGCCTATGATCATGGATTTAGTTCTAATTTTTGCTCTCTAGCTATTCCTCTGCTGCAAGAATCATTTAGCTTCTTCAGTATATTTTCCCACAACTATCAGGTAATCTTCAGGGCTGCTGCACATTTTGCTGTTTCTGGAGTCTTGGTTGATCCATCAAAGTTGAAGCTTGGCTAAGGATCTTTGAGAAAACAGGGATGGAGCAAAGGGGGGGAGAATGGAGTAAAAGGTTAAGGGTGGGGTTCTGTATTGTTCATTCAAAATGTAAATGTGATCCTCTTCAGTGAAAAAAATATTTTAAGGGACATTATTTACTGACTATTTAAACTTAATTTTAAGAGTCTGAACGGTTTTAGTTTTGGTGGCTAGATGCAATGATTTTTTTATAGGGCAGCACTAGGTGCAGGAGGCTCATCTCAGTTAGCATTTTCAGTACAGTATTCACAGACTAAATTATTTCTGCAACAATCATAGGTCTCCTAGCCATAACAAATAGTGCTCTTCCTCCATTACATGGATACAATTTATGTAACTGAACAAGGAATTCTGATAAAGCTGTAGTGTAAACATTAGCAGCAAAATTAATCTGGAATATTTCAAGGCCTTTTTGTTTTCTTTTAAACAAAGCAAGTATATATAGGTAGAAATCTTTAGAGTATAAACATTCATTTTGTGCGGCAATATTCATTTCAAAACATTATGACAAGGTCGTAGGACTCTTTAGCAAAGTTCTTCAGCTACTGTGGGTATACTTCATAAAGAAATTGAGAGAGCTGTGTCAGAGGAAACAATAAGCCCATACTAGGAACCCTTAAAGAGGAGATGCTCTATATCAGAGGTTCTCAACCTTTTTCTTTCTGAGGTCCCCCCAACATGCTATAAAAACTCCACGGCCCACCTGTGCCACAGTAACTGGATTTCTGCATATAAAAACCAGGGCTGGTGTTAGGGGGTAGCAAGCAGGGCAATTGCCTGGGGCCTCATGCCACAGGGGCCCCTACAAAGCTACATTGCTCAGGCTTCAGCTTCAGCCCCGGGTGGTGGGGCTCAGGGACCTGGGCTTCTGTCCCATGCGGTGGGGCTTTGGCTTTCTGCCCTGGGCCCCAGCGAGTCTAATGCTGGCTCTGTTTGGAGACCCTCTGAAACCTGCTTGAGGCCTCCTTAGAACTACTGCTCTATATAACCTGAATCATGATGGTTTGCTAGGCTCTTTGGGACCACGTGTGATCAGAGTATACAGGTTTATTTTAACAGCTATACAGATGATCTGTTCTTGTTTTCTCATGCCAAATTGAAATTTGAATGGCTCTAAAATCGCGAAGAAAGATAGAGCTGTTTCAGCTGAGCTTGTCAGAATGCTATCCGTGTAATTCAAGAGGGATTCCCATTACGTCACGTGATATGAGATCAGACTTGGTGACATCTGTGTTCTGGTAGTTTAATTCTAATGCAGCTAAATAAGATAGTAGAAAAGCTTTATTTAAATGCTCTAGTTATAAATATTAATGGATCAAGTGGGGAAAAAAGGTGAAATAGTAAGTATCTAATGATTGAAATGTTGATCAAGTATCAGGGGGCAGCCGTGTTAGTTTGTTCAGCAGATTTGGGGGAAATCTTCCCCTTTTTTCATTACCCATGTTCAGTCTATCTCTATATCTATAGCAAAATGCAGTGCAAGAGATAGGTCTGTTTTCTGTGTAGCAGGACAGAAACCTGACAGCCTTTTGTTTTCTATGTAAGAAAACAAAGACAAAACTCTAGAAAGTGCCTTTTTCCCCCCATTGGAAGAAATGTTGAATCTTTTCTCTTCTATAAGTTTATTTGTCTACAAAAGCCCATTAAAAGAGTTTTTGCCCAGAAATAGTTTTGGCCAAGAGAGAGATTGCTTAGCTTTCCTCTAGGTTTACTTGGTGAGCCATAATTCTCATGCCAGTGTACACAGTGTTTATAATGTAGGACGTTTGCAAATTTCCATACTACTTTAACTTTTCTAATTCTCTTTTATACAGCAAGATAGTGCCAAAAGAGTTTATTTTCCAAAATCATCTAAGTATTTTCATAATTTTGTTCATGTTTTCATAATTGTCCTTCTCTGGATTTTTGTTCAATAGTCACTGGAATAGAACTCAATTTTTCAGGTTTGTAGGACATTTCTTCTAAAGTTTCTCTGACAATGATTATTGATTTTCATGAAATACCTAAAGTAGTGGTTCTCAAACTTTAGCAACCCGAGGACCCCCATTTTGATTTAATTTTTTTGAGGTGTTCCGCAGCGTGCAGGGAGGCACTGGGAGGGAGGAGAAGGAGTTGAGGGAGGGAGGAGTTGATCAACAGAGCCCACGGACCCCAGTTTGAGAAACACTGACTTAAACCATTTCAGCACCACTTTAAGTGGCTGGGTTTTTAGTAAGCTTCCTTTGTCCTGGGATATCCACAAATTGTCCCAAATGAAGACCCCTTGCAGACAACTTGTTCTTAAATGCCTGTACTTTATATGTAAGCTTGGCAGAATTTGATTTTTTTTTCTTAAAAAAATGAATGGATAATACTGATTTTGATCAATTTCAGTTTTCACAGTTGCAGGAAAATAGGGGGTTCAGACATTTATCTGACAATAGACATTGAGATTAAAAAGTTAAAGGCTTTATAAACTGTTAAATCACAAATTATCAACACCACATGTCAAAATATACAAAGTAAATATCTTTAAATCAGCAAATCATGTATGTTTTGACTACTCATTCGCTAGATCATTTGTAACAAGCCTTAGACAAAATAAGGCTTGCCCTGAAATAAAGCTTTACATTTTTCTTAAAATAAAGTCATTACTCTTAGAAAAGGAAACAAGAATGAGTACCACTGATCTTCTAATAGACTTTCAGATACTCTGTTAAATTGTCCTTGAAGCTATTAACTGAGGGAACAGATTGTTATGTTCATTATTCCAATGTGCCTATTATACGTTCTAACTATGATTCAAGAAAAGTATTTGTGTACCTGCTGTTCTATTTTACTGGACAAAATGAATTAGAGAGATAAGAGCAGTATGTTTTAAAAACAAAAATAAATAAGATTAGCAGATCGTTCCATTTTTGTTGGTGAGGGAGCCAGAAACAGAATCTTTAGTTTTACGTATTTTCTTTATACACTGTGAGTTAAATTATATTGTGCTTTTGTTAACCTCCATGCATTTTTCCACAGCACTGTATACTTCAGAAACAAGAATTTGTTAAGCATACCGTAAAACAAGTGAACAGTGAATTAAAGTTTCTGTGTTTGTTTAAGCCTATTTCACTTAGGCTTTCTTAGAATCCTAGACCACTTCTGAACAGTATATATGGGAGTGATTTTTCCAGTCTCATTTCATTTTTTAACTTATATATTTATTTAGAATTTTTTAACAGCTTTATAAATTCTTGCCATATAAATAAATATCAGAGACCAAACAATAATCATTACAATAGCAAACTTTTCCTTAGAGAAACTTTATACAGATCTCTCTATTAAACCGGGAGTTACTTTATTATAGAATGAGCATCTTTACACTATATGTGACCTCAGTCACATTCCAAGCAAAGGGCCTTTCACTTTCCTCCTTACCTTGAGAGGGTATTCCATTGAGGCTGTTGAGTTGAATACAGGAGCGTCAGAATTAAATGCATGTGGATAAAATCATTCCTGTTTAACAATAGAGGACAGGTTTTTTAATAATTATTTTAATAATGTCCACTGTGTTAGCTCTTAAATGCAGAGATTTTGATAATCGGTAACTATCATGTGACTTAAATAATACTCTAGGCACAAGACCTCTCTTGTAAAACAACCAGTCTTGTTTGATTTACATTTTTATACTATTTATTAGCAAGAATATTGGAATATGTACTCCACTTAAATCTTGTATGTTTTTTCCTGCAGATGAGTATATCTCCTGCTTTCTATACATTCATATTTGTTACATTTGTTTTTCTTGTTTAAATAAAAATAGCATTTGAGATTTTTGTTATCTTTTCTTACATAATTACACTATTTATTTATTCAAATAGATGGAGGACCTTATGCTGATGGAACTTTACTGTGAAGATAATCCGTTGCTCCAGAAACAGCCTGTTTCTGCCATTCAAGAGGAAGAAGTTTGGTCTCTTAAGGTGAGCAATGAGAGACTTCAGCTAATACCTTCATAATTTTAAAAATTCAAGATTTAAAATAAAAATAAAGATTGAATAGTATTCTTGTCAATCCAACAATTCTAAACAGTTTCTGAATCTCTGTTCAGATTATTCCTTCATGAACTACATGGTTTGGTCATATTTTCTTTTGCCTATAATATTGTTTGATCGTATCTGATTATAACCATTGTGCTGAAGAATGTAGAAGAGGTGGAGGTGAAAAGTTTGAAGGGAGAACAGAAGAGGGCATCGGCATTTACTTAGCAACCTTCCATTTACGTTTTCGTATTGCTATAAAACAAAATTCTGCCCCGACTAAGGGTTTTATGACGGCAGCCTGGGAATGGCAGTTTAGGCAGTAACAGTAGCTGATCGTAGTAGTCCCTTCTGGCCTTAAAAATCTATGAATCTGTAAAGGATCTACTTCCAGTTTGCCGTTATATGATCCTTGATTACTTGACTCAAATGCAGGCCAGATACTGAGCTTTAATCCATAGCAGGTCCAACTCACTCCGTGACAGCATCATTCATCTTTTTTTGTCAGCTTATTTTTTCTTTGGAATTGTAAGGCTGCTCAAGGATGTTAAATGATAATATTGCAGCTGCTAATTCCAGCTATTACCCAGATTCCGTTCACTTCTCTCGGAAGAAAACTTGGCTGTAGTGGTTCATGTGTTAACCATCTGAGATAAAAAATTTTATAAGTACCTAACCTGTTTGCAAAAGTGACTTAGGCATCATTCATTTTGATTGAAAATGGGAATTAAGTTCCTCAGTCATTTATGAACATTTTACCGATCCAGGCAAAAGTACAGTAATTCTTTCTCAACCTGGACATGAGAGTGACAAAAGTTGCAGCTAGTACACAATTTGGTGGCTCGTCTCTGAAGTTTTTTGTTACTAGCATTCTTCAGGAAATCACTCTCCATTTTACTACCACTGTTGCAGTTTCACCACTAGTAACTGGTATAAACAATCTGCAGGCATTTTTTGTCACTCATTTCTACCTGCTCTGAGGTGCACTGGAAGGTAGTGCAAAGGAATGAGATTTCATGAAAAATGCTGGTGTAGATGCAGCCAAAGGTCCTATGCCAGTGCTCCATAACCTGTCATGGCACCCTGTGCACTACTGGGTCTAATTCATTGTTCTAATGTATAAAATCCTCAGTAGGCTAGTCTTACGTTAACTCAGACTGCTTCTTGGTCAGGAACCCTACACTGTAGTTACCCCTCACCAGTTATCAGAACGTTGATACAGATTTGAGAAAGTAGAAGGCAAAGCCTTCTTAACCTCAGGTCCAAGCCTGTAGGACACCCACTTGAGGGAGATCAGAGAATGCCAGCTCCAGGTTACACTGCAAGGCACATCTCTTTGTAATATAACCCCTCTAAAACCAGAACAATATCAAAGTTTGTGATGTACTCAAAACTAGCAGTTCAAGATCAAGCAAAACAGAGAGATGACATCATGCTCATGGGAGGAGACTTGATAACATCTAGATTAAGTTGGAGTACTTATTGCTCCAGGCAGCTCTTAACTGTATTTTTAATACTTTTATGGTGCTTAGATAAGGCAGTGCTAAGCAGCTTATGAATGCTGGTAAATAACCCTGAACCAGCTTCAATGTGTTGGTACTAAATCTAAGTCAAAGAGATGTTTGCTGTGACAAGTATCTTCTTGTTTTAAATGCTATTTGCAAAATCTGTTTAAAATACAAGAACATATTAAAATAATTTTAATGAATTGTCAGTCTTTTTTGTTCTCAAGGATGGGGGAGGTTCTTACTTGGCATGCACACCAGCAAACTCCCATTGATATCAGTGAGAATTTTGCTTTAGTAAGAACTGAATGAAAACAGAGCCAAGACCTTGGGATTTGGCCCCAATGGCACCTGTTACACAGCCAGGAGTTTGCTTTGGATGAAAGCACAATATATTCAAGACTAAAGCACATATATGATTTACATCCATACCCTTCTCGTAGGTAAGATAAGATTAATTAGTTTTTACCTTCAGCAAGAGCAGGTTCTTTCTGGTGGAACCGGTAATAGAACTGTAGAGTTCTTTGTCTGTGTCACTGAGCAGTCAATCCTGCATATTTGTCAATTTCTTGATTTTATTTCTATCTAATTACAGTATGTAAAAGTTAATAATTGACTGTTTTCTCATGCAAACTGTGGTGGACCTGAGGTTTTTATGTAATAATTAGGGCTGTTGATTAATCACAGTTAACTCACGCGATTAACTCAAAAAAATTAATCGCGATTAAAAAAATTAATCGTGATTAAGCACAGTTCTAGTCACACTGTTAAACAATAGAATACCAATTGAAATTTATTGTTTTTCTATGTTTTCATATATATTGTATTCTATGTTGTAACTGAAATGAAAGTGTATATTTTTGATTATAAATATTTACACTGTAAAAATGATAAACAAAAGAAATAGTATTTTTCAGTTCACCTCATTCAAGTATTGTAGTGCAATCTCTGTCGTGAAAATGCAACTTACAAATGTAGATTTTTTTTTGTTACATAACTGCACTCAAAAACAAAACAATGTAAGACTTCAGAGCCTACAAGTCCACTCAGTCCTTCTTTTTCAGCCAATCACTAAGAGACAAACAAGTTTGTTTACATTTACAGGAGATAATGCTGCCCTCTTCTTATTTACAATGTCACCAGAAAGTGAGAACAGGCACTTGCTTGGCACTTTTGTAGCCGGCATTGCAAGTTATTTACATGCCAGATATGCTAAACAGAAGTCTTAAAAGAGCAACACTCTGATGCGGAAACTACAGAACCTAAATCACCAAAAAAGAAAAACAACCTTCTATTGGTGGCATCTGACTCAGATAATGAAAATGAACATGCGTCTGTCCGCACTGCTTTGGATTGTTATCAAGCAGAACCCGTCATCAGCATGGATCCATGTCCCGTGGAATGGTGGTTGAAGCATGAAGGGACATATGAATCTTTAGTGCATCTGGCATATACCGTATTTTCCAGCGTATAAGACGACTGGCGTATAAGACCACCCCCGATTTTTGAGAAGATTTTCCTGGGTTACAAGGTCGTCTTATACGCCCAGTCGTCTTATACGCTGGAAAATACGGTATATGCCAGATGCACTAAAGATTCATATGTCCCTTCATGCTTCAACCACCATTCCACGGGACATGGATCCATGCTGATGACGGGTTCTGCTTGATA